AAAACAAACACTGATACACAGCACAGTGGCACACCAACAGAAGAAGAACTCACAACTTATTGGTCTTCTCTTTGGTCCAATGCTGTTACACACAATGCTGTTGCAGGCTGGATCAAGGAGGAGAACAGAAAATTGCATAACATACCAAATATGCCCTGTGCTGAAATAAACATACACAACATTCGCTACGCTGTTAACAGAATACACAACTGGAAGACACCTGGTGTAGACAACATTCACAATTTCTGGTATAAAAAGTTTGCATCACTGCACCAGGAACTAGCTAAACATCTAACACACATCATCAATCCACAAGACATGCCAAAATTTCTTACTCAGGGCATCACCTACATGAAACCTAAAAACAACAAAACCACAGACCCCACACAATACAGACAATTACATGTCTTCCAACACTCTACAAATTATTGACATCCTGTATCACAAACAAAATATACAAACATGTTGAAGAACACGACATTCTTACAGAACAACAAAAAGGTTGCCGTAGAAATCACAGGGGATGCAAAGAACAGTTACTCATAGATTCAGTCATTCTACGGCAAGCACACAAACAACACAGAAACATACACATGGCATATATAGACTACAGAAAAGCATTCGACAGTGTTCCACACAGTTGGCTGCTACATATTCTACACATGTACAAAATACATCCATCACTCATTGCATTCTTCGAAAACACTATGCAGCACTGGAGAACAACACTACATCTCAGGGTTAGTAACACTTCCATACAAACAAACGAAATATTCATTAGGCGAGGAATTTTTCAAGGAGATTCCTTGAGTCCTCTCTGGTTCTGCCTAGCCCTGAATCCATTATCCAACATGTTAAACAACACGCAATACGGCTACAATATCAGACACGAAAAAACAACACAGTTTACACTCTCACATCTCATGTACATGGACGACATAAAACTTTATGCATCCACACAAAAACAACTTCATCAACTCCTACAAATCACACATTCATACACTAAGGACATACAAATGGAGTTTGGCCTAGACAAATGCAAAAAACTTCACATAGAAAAAGGAATCCTGAAGAAAGAAGATTTTGCACTTGGAAATGGAGACGTTATTGAATCCATGGAAGAGGGCGAGTTCTACAAGTACTTAGGATTCCAACAGGCCAAACTAACAGAACATACACAAATAAAGCAACGATTAATTAAAGAATACCAAAGTAGGTTAAACGCTATACTTAGAACACAGTTAAATGCAAAACACACAGTTAAAGCAATAAACACATATGTCATCCCAGTACTCACATACTCTTTTGGAGTTATACATTGGACTCACACAGATCTCGAGCAACTCCAAAGGAAAACAAGAACAACACTTACTAAGCATAAACAACATCATCCTAAATCCGCCACAGAAAGATTAACCCTTCCACGTAAAGAAGGCGGACGTGGCCTGATTGACATAGTTAACCTTCACTACAAACAAATACAGTCACTGCGAGAGTTTTTCTACAAGAAACAAGAAACATCACAGTTACATAAAGCAGTAACTCTAGCAGACTCAAATAACACACCATTAAACTTACACTCACAACATACAGACATGACACAACATATAAAAAGCATAGACAACATTAAGCAATCATGGGCTCAAAAGGCTCTCCATGGCAGGCATCCTTACGACCTGGCCCAGGATTTTGTTGACAAAACTGCGTCAAACAGCTGGTTAGATCGGGGATGCCTCTTTGGGGAGACGGAAGGATTCATGATTGCCATACAGGATCAGGTCATAAATACTAAAAACTACAGAAAACACATACTCAAAGATACAACACTCACAAATGACACATGCAGAAAATGTCACATCATGCCAGAAACTATACAACACATCACTTCTGGTTGCAAGCTCTTGGCACAGACAGATTACTTACATAGACACAATCAAGTAGCAAATATAATACACCAAGAGCTTGCAAAGAAACACAAATTGGCAGACATCCACGAACCATACTACAAGTATATTCCACAGACAGTATTGGAAAATAACACGCACAAAATGTATTACGACAGAGCCATAATCACAGATAAAACAATTTACCACAACAGACCAGACATCACACTCATTGACAAACACAATAAAATCACATACATTATAGACATAGCCATTCCAAACACTCACAATGTACAAAACACATGCACTGAAAAAATTAGCAAGTACACAGAACTCGCCCAGGAAATAAGGCATCTGTGGAGGATGGATAGGGTGCTTATTGTACCTGTTGTTCTCTCCTGTACAGGTGTGATACCACACACACTATACAAAAGCCTGGAAACATTACAATTGAGTAGAAATACATACATGACACTACAGAAGGCCACTATATTGAATACATGCCACATTGTTAGGAAATTCCTGAATACAAACACACACACTGACACACTTAATTTTAGTTTTGTTTTGGTTGTTATGCCTTGACTTTGGTTCGGCATAGTACACAGTCACTGGTGTGAACCGAGTATAACTCACAAAATCCAACAAAATAATAATAATAATAATAATAATATCTTGTATAAATAAAGATTCTAATATAATTTTTGTTTGTTTTTATCTTAATTAAATTATTGTATTTTTTTTAAATTTTATAATGGTTTATGGTTAATTTGTTTACTACAATTATAGATAATTCTTCACTAAATTGAATATAAGTGTAATGTTATTTAACACAATTTTAACTATTATGATCATTCTTATAATTGGTTTATTTTAAAACAATCATTTTAAAAGTAATTAATGTTTTTTAGGTGGTTATCATCCTGTAAAAATTGGTGATTTGTTTCACAGTCGCTATCATGTTGTTAGGAAATTAGGTTGGGGTCACTTCTCTACAGTTTGGCTTTGTTGGGATTTAGTGTAAGTATGAAACTTCTAGGAAAAAAATTACTTAATTATTTAATAGGTTACAATTATAGTTAACTGATTGTTTAACTTTCTAGGTTTAAATATTTTATTTCAGGAATATCATATATTAAATTTGGCTTATTATAACAGTTTCGTAATTTTTTATTATTTGTTGTTTTATCAATTATAAAATATATTGTTGTAAAATATTGTAAACGTTTTTAATATTAAAACAAATATTAATAACTTTATGTTATAAGCTATAAAATCAGAATGAGTCAAGATGAAATATGTTTCTAAGTTTTATATACAGTATTACCCTATAACATGGGTTCATATAAGATGGATTCGTATAACACAGTGGAAAAATTGTGATCGTGTTCGTATAACATGCTAAAAGAGGCTCGTATAATATGGTAAAAGAATGAGACAGATTGTCATGGCCAACTTGTGTCTTGACAGGATTGGTCGAATCTGGACCAATAGTGACCGCTGTCCAGCAGCATGCATATATATGGACAGTTTAGGCGGGAAAGTTGATTTTGCTTTTGTCTGTATGTTGAGAGGTCGTGCTTGTCTCGACTAGGAGTTGTTATCGTCTGGCTTATGGCTTTGTGAAATTAAACCTGATTTCATCTAGTGGAAGTATACATCTGTTATCTCTGGTACATACATACTATCAATTAAGCTGTGTTTAAACTAAGTGTGTTAAATAAATTTAAGAAGATATTATAATACAAGGTGCATCTGAAAAGTTTGGTGAATGGTCCCATAGTTAAATAACCGTGCTGGTTAGGATGTTGTGCTCACGCAGATGTAGTGAGAGACTTGCCAACTAGTGGCCCCTAGCATTGAAATCACAAGAGTTAAATGGAAGTGTGCACAACAAACAATGCAACACAGTGTGAGAAGGAGTGTCACTGTGAAATGGAGCAATGTGTGAACATCAAGTTTTGCTTAAAATTAGGCAAAATTGCGATGGAGACACATGAAATGTTAGTGAAAGTGTATGGTGTGGAAGCAGTGAGTAAAAAATGTGTTTTTTGAATGGTTTAAATGCTTCAGAGATGGAAAGGAAGATGATGTTGATGATCCATGTTCTGGTCGACCGTCAACAAGTACAACTCCAGACGACATCGAACGAGTGCAACGGGTGCTTGCGGATGATCAGATAATGGATGCTTGCGGATGGTCTTTGAGAATGATAGCGGATTTGAAGATAAGCAAGGACAGTTTGAGCCCTTGACAGGCGCCAATCATCTGCAAGCATCTCATTCGATGTTGTCTGGAGTTGTGCTTGTTGACCATCGACCAGAGCATTTAAACCATTCAAAAACACACTTTTTACTCACTGCTTCCACACTATACACTTTCACTAACATTTCATGTGTCTCCATTGCCGTTTTGCCTAATTTTAAGCAAAACTTGATGTTCACACGTTGCTCCATTTTGCAGTGACACTCCTCACACTGACTGTGTTGCATTGCTTGTTGCAAGCACTTCTGTTTAACTGTTGCAATTTCAATGCTAGAGGCCACTAGTTAGCAATTCTCTCACTACGTCTACGTGAGTGCAACATCCTTAACCAGCACGGTTATTCAACTATGGGACCATTCATCGAACTTTTCAGATGCACCTTGTATGTACATAAAGTAGGTAAGTCTAATAATTTTTTTACAAAAGTCATGTATTTGTAAAATCTAATTGACTCGTACAACACAGATTCATATAACACAGAACATATCTACTGTGTTATAGGGAAGTCTACTGTATATAAAAATTAATTCATATATGGTGATGTGAATTAATTTTTAACTTTAGTGTAAAATAGTTTGTTTAACTATATACCAGAATATATGATTATTATATGCAACTTAATTATATACTGTATAAATCATGATTATATGATAAATCAAATACTATAAATAAACTTGTGTTTTAAAATTACTAAAGAAATATATAATTTGAAATAAAAGATTTTTTTATACATAATGTTGAACAAAAATTAAAAATTTGCATCATTAGATTATTTAACAATTACTTGTTATACTTTAATATTTAAATAATTTTAATATAATTACAATATTTTGAATGAATATTGACATTCAGAAATTTAGTTTTTCAGTATATTAGAGTTTAATACCGCCTAAATTAGTTAAAATATTTTATAAAATATTTAATTTTTTTGATGATCATAAATTAGTATAAAGTTATTGAGTCAAAATGCAATTTATGTTAATAAGTATAAACAAATTGTATTTTGATCTATTTAAATCTCTAAATAAATAAAACGTGTAACCGGTGTTTAATATTTGATTTTTGTATTCTAATATACCATAAATTTTTTAAGTTAGAATAATTTTTGATTAAATATCAATTAAAGTTGAAAAATTATTCTTTTAATGAATTTTTATTTTAAACCTATTTTTTATGGAAATTTTAATTGTATTAATTATATTTTAAATTGAATATTTTATGTTATGTAAAAAATTTCTTAATTTTAATAGTTTATCTTATATATATACTTCAGAATCTGACTAATTCAGATTAACTGGAAGAAAGCTTAGTCAAAATTAGAAAGTTTTTACTCAAATGCCTATTGTATGGTTTTTATAAAAAATACACTTTGAAGTCAAATTTGTCACAAGTCAAATACACTTTGAAGTCAAAATTTATATTTCACTTTAAATAAACAAATACAATGGTGTGATAAACTTTTATAATGCAAAAGTAGTAGGAACATCATTTTTATCTTTGGCAACATTTACTGATTTGAGCTTTAAAAAGAAGGTATTATATTTAATTAAATGTAAGATACACATTTATTCAGGTTTTAGTATCTCTGAAAATAGAGTGCATCTTAGATTTAATGTAATATTTATTAATGTGGTGACTGCTAGTTTCATATTTCTGTTGCTAGAAGTTACTAATTCTATTGTGTCATATTAAATATATGATTTTATTAGACCATTTGTATTAGCAAATGTATAAGAAGTTAGTTTAGCTCAAACTTGTTAGTTTATCACAATATCACCATAATTATTTGGAAGAAGATCCCAGAAAAAATTTTGCAGCAGTCTTTCAAGAAAACATTTCTGACACTTTAAATAGCATTGAGAATGATTGCATGTGAGAAAGAAATGATTCTATAAATTCTGTGTTGATTTAGAAGAATCTAATGCTGAAAGTGAAGAGGTTTCCAACTTTGATACCACAGAAAATAGTGTTATAAAATTGCAATTAAAATACATTATATATCTTTAAATCTTTTTTAAACAAATCTATATCAACAGGATCAGTTCTGTCCTCATAAACTTGTCTCAAGTTGTCCATTTTTCAAAAAAAAAATTTGTGAGTAAGCATGTGGAAATTAAGGCGCATCTTATATTTGAGTAAATTGATAATTTTTGTTTGTGATTCTTTTTCTAACTGTTTCTTGATCATATTTTGATGCATTTGTCTAAGAGTAATGTAACAGTTGTTAACGCTTGAACTGGAATGAACAAATTCATTATTTTAAAATTATACAATGCAAAATAGAAATCAAAATTATTGTGAAGTCTGAATTAGTGAGTGTTACTGTACATATAATTTAAGGAATGAAATCAGAACATTGATATAAAATTAAGTGATTTCTTAATTTTATGTTAATTTCTTCTCAATAAAAACTTATGATGCACTTTACAATATCCTATTTGTCTGATAAAACTAATAATAATTGAAATTTAATTTATATATTTTTAGAAAGTGTAAGTTTTCGTTGTTTCGTTTAAAAAATTTTTTATTGGAAATACTTATATAATGAACGAACTGGATAATAAAACACACCTTAATAATCCAGCTAATAAAAATTAATAATGTAAAAACGTTTTTGATCGTTTCTTAACGATCTTCTTCAGTTACCATAACATAGAATAAAATCGAACACAAAAAAAGAACGTAAATATGAAATTAAAATATAAATAACGGAAAAATAGCTGTGTTGATAAAATAAACGAAAAATATAAATTAATCTGAAAAAATGTCCCTAACAAAAATTATTTTTATTTTTATTTTTTCGGATTAATTTATATTTTTCGTTTATTTTATCAACACAGCTACTTTTCTGTTATTTATATTTTAATTTCGTATTTATGTTTTTTTTTTGTGTTCGATTTTATTCTATGTTATGGTAACTGAAGAAGATTGTTTAGAAATGATCAAAAACGTTTTTACATTATTAATTTTTATTAGCTGGATTATTAAAGGTGTGTTTTATTTATCTTATTGGGAAAATAACTAATTTCTTTTAAAGGTGTGTAATTTAATAAAATAGAACATTTAAATTGTGAACCAGGTTAATTATTGCTTGTAATATTCATATGTACAAATTTATTTTTAAAATAAATATGAATATAATTACATGTAAATAAACAACAAGTAATGGTGTGTTTTATTTGTTGCAACGCATTTTGATTTTTCAGATAGAATAAATTAATTTGTAGAATTGATTTTATTTTATGTAATAAAAAAATTCTAACAAAATAAATAAAAAGAAGTATTAAACATGTCATTTGGATAATTGATATAATTTTTCAAACTATAAAAGAAAAGTTGTGCTACTTTAATAATAATTATGAATTTTAAAAATTAGCAAATAATTAATGACTTAAATTTTTCTTTAATGCTTGCATTATCAATAGAAATTAGTCTGTGTGGATTTATAAAATCTGGAGGATTAATTGAATGCTTGTAACTTGTTTATTTTAGTTTAATAATAATAATAATAATAATTTGTGATATTTTTAGGGGAAAAAGGTTTGTGGCATTGAAATTAGTGAAAAGTGCATCTCATTATACAGAGACTGCTATAGATGAAATAAAATTATTGAGATGTGTAAGTAAATAAGTTTTACATATTTTATTGAATTTAAGTACTTGGTTTTTTTTTACATTTAATACATATATAAAAAATTTTGAAATAATTGAAAAATAAAGAACTAGAAAAAAATTTTCAAGGAAATCAACTCATCTTAATCTTCTTAAAATAAATATTTTTTTTTAAATTTGAAACATCAAAAAGAATGTTTGGAGAGGTATTTTTGAATTAATTTGATTTTAAATCAGAATATTAAAATTTCTTAATTTATTTGTTTTCATAAATGTACAAACATTAACCTCAAAGCTGAAATAGAATTAAATTTTACAATCTCAAGAATAAATAGAATAAAACCAGCTTATATTTTAAAAATAAATAGTTTTTAAAGTTATGCCAAACATTATAATATTTTGTTATAACTAAATTTAAATCAAAATATAACACTAAACAAATTAGGATAAAATAGTGTATTACAAAGAAATGATGCTCAAATTTTATTCTTCCTTACAGCAATAGTTAATTTGATAAATTAGTTTGTTAATTCATATACAGTAGAGCATCGATTATCTGACCCCCCCAATTAACTGTCACATCAGTTAACCGACCGTTCTAATCGGCAAATTTCAAATGTCCGCTAGTGATGTGGCACTACAATATTTGGTTATGTCTTGGCTACTTTAATATTATTTTTGTTAAATTTTTGTGTGTTTTAGCTGGCAACACTGGCTCGACCATGAAAGAGAGGCCAGTATTTAAACGAGACTTAATTTTCTAATTATGAGTGGTTGTTTGTTTTGTGAGCAATAAAATAATTTAAAGATAATTTTTAACGATGCAATAGTGACGATTATTATTTTTAAAAAAATTTTGTTATGTTTAACATCGATGAAAATTCAACGTGAAGTAGGTTAATAGCGATATACTAATTACATGGGATATACTAATATACTATACTAATAATGTATTTTTTTCATTCTTTTCGATTATCTGATTTTTTCAGTTATCCGACCAACCCGAGTCCCCAATTGAGTCGGATAATCGATGCTCTACTGTATATTNAAATAATTGAAAAATAAAGAACTAGAAAAAAATTTTCAAGGAAATCAACTCATCTTAATCTTCTTAAAATAAATATTTTTTTTTAAATTTGAAACATCAAAAAGAATGTTTGGAGAGGTATTTTTGAATTAATTTGATTTTAAATCAGAATATTAAAATTTCTTAATTTATTTGTTTTCATAAATGTACAAACATTAACCTCAAAGCTGAAATAGAATTAAATTTTACAATCTCAAGAATAAATAGAATAAAACCAGCTTATATTTTAAAAATAAATAGTTTTTAAAGTTATGCCAAACATTATAATATTTTGTTATAACTAAATTTAAATCAAAATATAACACTAAACAAATTAGGATAAAATAGTGTATTACAAAGAAATGATGCTCAAATTTTATTCTTCCTTACAGCAATAGTTAATTTGATAAATTAGTTTGTTAATTCATATACAGTAGAGCATCGATTATCTGACCCCCCCCAATTAACTGTCACATCAGTTAACCGACCGTTCTAATCGGCAAATTTCAAATGTCCGCTAGTGATGTGGCACTACAATATTTGGTTATGTCTTGGCTACTTTAATATTATTTTTGTTAAATTTTTGTGTGTTTTAGCTGGCAACACTGGCTCGACCATGAAAGAGAGGCCAGTATTTAAACGAGACTTAATTTTCTAATTATGAGTGGTTGTTTGTTTTGTGAGCAATAAAATAATTTAAAGATAATTTTTAACGATGCAATAGTGACGATTATTATTTTTAAAAAAATTTTGTTATGTTTAACATCGATGAAAATTCAACGTGAAGTAGGTTAATAGCGATATACTAATTACATGGGATATACTAATATACTATACTAATAATGTATTTTTTTCATTCTTTTCGATTATCTGATTTTTTCAGTTATCCGACCAACCCGAGTCCCCAATTGAGTCGGATAATCGATGCTCTACTGTATTTTTTTTTTTTTTATCTAATTACTAGACATTTATGTAAAACAGTGTACAATGATTCTTGATTTTGGAGACAATAACAAAGGATTATTCTTACATTAATTAACATTTTTTTTATTACATTCTTTTCATGCGAATTAAGTGAAAAATTTTATTTATTTATTTAAACAATTTTAAGCGAATTAATAAATATATTTTTGGATAATGATTTTTTAGATATTGACTTTATTTACTTCCATTCTATACCTTATGTTAAAAATATAGTTTTTTTTTTTTAACATAAAATTTACATTTAAAAAGACCTTAAAAATCTTGAATCAAACTGAAAATAAAAAAACATTAGGAATGTCAAAAATTACAGTATTAAATTGTAATTTTTGACCTTCCTAATATTTTTTAATATTACAATATGATGGAATTTCGGATTTTTAATGCTTCAGTTGTTTTTTCATTTTTAATGAGTAATTTTTACTATTAATTAGATATGTATTTAAATTATTTTATTTTTTTATATAGGTTAGAGACAGTGATATTGATGATCCTTTCAGAGAAAAAGTAGTTCAATTATTGGATGATTTTAAGATATCAGGAGTAAATGGTACTCGTATCCTTTTTATTATAGCATTAAAAATAAATTCAAGGTAAGATTTAAACAAGTCATTTCAATTTTAATTTATTTCTTTAAAATTGTATATTGGATATACAGATGATTGGATAATATTTGAGAAAAACTAAAATAATAGCAACAAAACATAGAGATAAGTTGTTTCAAATCTTCCATTGATAAGGATAAATTTATCTTTTCTCAGAAACATAAAAAGATATACAGGTTTTTTTGAACAGGATTGCATACATTTTCCACTGATTTTTCATGTATAATTGCACTGCATATAATTGCTGTTTTACAAGTTTGATAATTCTGAAGTTTTTCAAACTTTGTGTTAGCATAGACTAATATGAATTATTGGTCAGCTGGAAATAAATGTTGGGAGACTGATATTTTATAAAATTACTTTAATGATACATTTAAATTAATTTTTGTATTAGGTCATTTAATTTTGTTGTTGTTTGATCTTTTTATGATGTTATTATCTATTATAGACAAATGATTTCCTCTTGCATTTCAAATGACTAGTATTTATTGAATGAAATTATTCAGAATTATCTTATTATAAAAAATCAAAAGTATTCTTAACCAACTAATAGATGTATGTATGGTGTTTGAAGTATTGGGCCACAATTTGTTGAAATTAATAATCCGTTCTAATTATCAAGGAATACCCCTTCAAAATGTAAAAACAATTATTCGTCAGGTAAGTTAATCTAAAAATTATTTAATTGAACTATAAAGAGATTTAACCTAATTTTTTTCTTAACTATTATAAATAAATATTTCAAATTATTATTGTAAAAAGCAATTAAATTAATAGCGAGGTTGAGGCTAAAGTTTTAAACGCGAAAACGTGTACGTCGGACGTTTATCGCCACTTTCCTGTAAGCCTAGAAATTTGACAATGATGTTTGGAATGTCAAGCATGATTCCACTGACTATCCAAACACCATTGTCAAACTTCTAGGCTTACAGGAAAGCGGCGCTGAACGTCCAATGTACACGTTTTCACATTTAAAACTTTGGCCTCAACCTCGCTAATGTTTAGTCTTTTACAAAGAATTGTTTCTTTATATTTGATTTATAAACATTGTTTAATAATTCTTATTTTATAAAACAAAACTCAAAATTGCAACATTTTGTTGAATTAAGACAGACATCAAGTGAAATAACTATTAGTTTGAGAATATTATTATTTTTGTAGTAATTTATAGATTTTGTAATATGTAAAGATGATTTAACATTTATTTCGAACTTCTTGTATCCTGTTTTATCTACAAATATTCTTAAACATTTTAATTTAGTAATTTTAACCTCTGTAATTCAGTTATTGTTTTCCATTAATTTATTATTATTCCTTGCTATACACCAACCAATGCCAAATATTATCGGGCTAGAAATGGCTATAATATTAATAATTTATAAGACAATTTCGCACTAGAGTTAGGTGTTAGGAGCCATCTCTTGATAAATTAAATAATTTAGAACTAGAAAAGAATTGGCTGGCGCAGGACTCAAACTGCTCTGGGCTGATTCGAAAAGAATTGGCCCAGAGCAGTTTCCAGTAGTTCTAAATTATTTAATTAAAATTATAATTATTAAATTTATCAAGAGATGGTGCCTAATGCCTAACTCTAGTGCCAAATTGTCTTATAAATTATTAATATTATAGCCATTTCTAGTCTGATAATATTCGGCATTGGTTGGTGTATAGCTTTAAAACAGTGGTTATCAACTTTTTTTGTTGATGTACCCCATTAGCCTATTAGTTATTTTTCAAGTACCCCATATATTTTTGTATGTAAATTTTATAATTACTGCATTAGATGTATACAGCCCTTATAACCCTTATAACTGAGTGCCATAAAAATTCTAACTATAACTAAAAGTGAATTACTTATTTTACATAAATAATAATAAAGTTAATCAGGTACGTACATTTATTTATTATTATTTGATAAGTATATTATATAAAATCACAGAATACATGCATAAATTACATTTCCTAAAAATAAATAATTATAATTAACGATAAAGAAAATTTAAATTATTCTACAATAATTTCTAACAAAATTTAGTGGAATATTTGTTGTGATAAATCTTCAGCAATTTTTTCAAAATTTGGTTCCCATGTTGTTAAATAGAGATTATTATTGTGTACTTACAATGTAATGGCTGCAAATTTATAACGTGCAGAACAATAAATGAATCTTTCAATTTTTGTAACAAACATAAGAGAGGTTGAGGCAGACGTTTTAAACGTGTAAACGTGTAGGTCGGACGTTCGGCGCCGCTTTCCCGTAAGCCTAAAAGTTTGACAGTGGTGTTTGGATAGTCGGTGGAATCACGCTCGACATTCCAAACACCATCGTCAAACTTCTAGGCTTACGGGAAAGAGGCACCGAATGTCCGTCCTACACGTTTACACGTTTAAAACGTCTGCCTCAACCTCTCTATAATGTCTAAATTTGCTAAATATCAAGTAATGCGTGCATGCATGGTGGGGGTATGATCCAGGCCTCGTTATTCCTAATAGCAGTAGTCCAGTAAAAAACACAAAACGCCCAAATCTCATTGAGCAATAATTATAAAATAGAATAAAAATTTTTTTCTATTCTAAAATTAATGCTCGGTTAAACCGTAATTTTACTAGACTACAGATTCACTCAACACTAACAGCACAAATAGACAGACAAATCAAATGGATAAACAAATTGTTTGGACTGTTAAAAGGGAAATCAGTGTTCATACTGGGATATTTTAAAGCAAGTTTTTGTCGTTTCTTGTGTTAATAATTTATAGCAAATTGATTAACATACTTTCATTTTATAATGAAAGTTAGGTGTACCCCTTTGATTTATGCTCGTACTCCTAGGGGTACATGTACCCCCGGTTGAGAACCACTGCTTTAAAATATATTGGGTTTAGTGATGATGTTTGTTTATTATTCCTTGTATAAAAACATATATATTTTAAGAAACTATGTTATTTATATACATTTTCATTTATAACAGTTATACAGTTGAGTCAAAAGCATTTGATAAGGGAGCAGTTTGCTTAAGAAAGCATTCTCACATGTTCCCAATTTTCCTGTTTTACATTAGTGGGACCCCTTTTAATAGAGCACCAGATAGCAGAGCAGTCAATTTAAGTGAGTGCCTTGTTGGTTGCATTTTTAGTACACAGTCTGCATAAGAGTACTATTCTAAGGAAGATTATAAGAACTCATCTTATTGGGATTGATCTGTATAAATATTTGATATTTGGAAGGAACAAGCCAATGACAATGAATAAGAAAAAATATCATTGTTAGGTTTTGAGTGGATACACAAAATAAGGTGTATTTGTTATGTAGAGAACTCATTTCTGCTTTTAATTTTTGTAATATGGTATAAAATAAAAATATTTTTCAAAGTGGACAATTGGTGAATATATCCCCTCTATCCCTTAAGAATTGTCACTGTGGTCTAACTTTAATCATACAGTATATCACTGCTCATGTGCAGAGTGACAGGACTCTCTATACTATGGTGTGTATTGTGAGATTTGGTAAAACCTTCCATTGGTCAGTTTTCTAACATGGATAGTCAAAAGATATCTTACAGAATCATAAAGAAGAGAGACATATATGAGAAGCAGCTATATACCATGTTAAAAAATCCAGCAATGAGTTGCATAACTTTCCTGGCTAAAACACTTAAAATTTTATTTGACACCATCTGTTATAATATTCTATTTAAAAACTTTTTATATTATTGATTATTATAAAATGGCAAAAGGCTTAGTTTTGAGGGTAGAGACGAGTTTTATAAAAAAATTATAAATGCAAATAATGAGTAAAATCTTCATTAAGTTTGACCCCCACTGGAGATATGACATATGATTCTATCTCCCCACTCTCTTGACCTTTATCACAAAATTTAGTATCAATGCCCCTAACACACAAATCTCTGCAAAATTTCAGAAATTTTCGACAAAAGGCATAAGTGTTATTAAGCTTCAAAGTGGGTGAATAAAATTGTACTTCCATACACAAACACACTAACATCCATACATATACAGAAATGCAAAAAAACCTTGAAATTTGTATGTATTTCTCTGTTTCAAGTCCCAAGTTCAAAAATTAAAAATCTTGGGAGGTCATTTCTTTGACCGATCGTACTTTCTCTCTGTTATATATAACAGCTGGGAAAGTAAAAGTATCATGAACTACATACGAATAGCACAGATTACATGTTCATTCTGATTTCATGTTGAACAAGACAAGAAGTGATTATGGGCAGATTTTGGAGGTCACGGGTCCTGTCCTTACTTTAAACCAGTGCTGTACTTTGTTTTTTATACTGTACAACCCATTAGACAGCATTCAGAAAGTTTGGATAAAAGATGTTCACATCTTTTTACCTAGTCACCTACTGTATTTCTAAGAAGTGAAAGTAATGTGACTATATTTGCTAATTATTCAATAGAGCAATACAATTGATAATATATATGGATAGATCAAAGGCAGGTTTCAGAGATTTCCCCTTGACCAAAAAATAATTTATTTGTTTGAACTTCAAAATATTGTTTTTAAAAACATTTTTGCCATGCACATGTTAATAAAAGGTCCTTATTAATTTTTCAAATGTTTAAAATATTGAGTTAGTCTCTGGATTTTTCTGGATCTACCACTGATGATACAGGAATGAAAACTAATATGTAAGTACAAGAAAATTATGTGATAATGAATTTAAATGTTTCCAAATGTGTTATAAATTACATAGAACTCCTAAAACATGAAAAATTGAAGAGAACTGAATAACATTAACAACTCCCTCAAAGAAAATAAAGTGGATGTGAAAAAGTCCAGTATCTAATATCAACACTTCATGGTGTCTCAAAATATAATATAATTCTCATCAGTTATGCACAATTTTAAAAAGAGTTATCATCATTTGCATGCTCTAATATTGGTAATCTTTCCTAGAACAGTTAATATTAACAACTATTTTGTACAGCTGATTAGAAACATTTTCGTGAATAAATGAAAATATTTTTGATCATACTTGATTATCATCAAATTTAAAATATTTTGGAGATTCCTACTAATTTATTTGTTTCTTTCACAATCAAGTAATATCTAAGTGCTATGCTTACATTTATATAAAACACATATTATCTTAAGATATCTAGTAGAATCAAATAAATATCTGTAAATTTCTTAATTTTACAAAATAGTAAATACTTAGCATTTAATAAAATTACAGTATAACAGTTATGCATGTTACAACAGTTAAAAGTCCATTTTAATATCATTAATAGCATAGTCTCCAATTATACATCATATGAATTGTTGGACTGCAATTTGAAAAAACTGTAGATCTATGAATTTCCACTGTATCCATCTGTCTGTTTGTTTGTCTGTCTGTCTTAATCTTGAGAATTGTGTTAAGTAGATGAAAGTTGAGACCAGATATATAAAGCTTAGAGGCAGGAGGCCCCAATTAACTATATATGAACTTTTGGTTTGCACTAGAAGTCATGTTATTTCAATTCAAAAATTTTTTTCTGGACAGAGTTAGATAGATGACAGGCATGACACTATTGCTGATAGGAAAAGTATGATGTACAGGCGCAAGGGCAAGACACTACTAAAAAATTGAGAACGTTGTGATGAAAAATTGCAGCCCAGCATTGTGACAATGCCAATAAATAATTGCTTGTTGATACTTAAATTTTTACTCTTATTAATTTAAAACAAAAAATATCCATTGTATAAATATTTAGAAACTTTTATTATCATAGGTTTTAGAAGGACTTGAATATCTTCATACCAAATGCAAAATAATACATACAGATATCAAGCCAGAAAATATTCTTATCACAGTAGATGAAACTTATATACGGAAATTAGCTTATGAAGCTACTCAATGGCAAAAAATGGGTCTTAGGCTACCTGGATCTCTTGGTGAGTATATTTTTAAATGATTTAAAACATAAGAAATAATTTTAGCTATAAAAATCAAACATGTTAACTTTAGAAAACCTTAGAAGTTTGTAATCTATTATGAAGTAATGTCTTTATTGTTTTAATAAAAATTAATATTATCAAATTATGTAAGATTAAAGATGCTTTTCCTTATTCAATGCTAAATAAATTAAATCTTTAAGATAATTTTTGTTGTATTTTAACATTTTTAGATAATGTTATTTTTATTATTATAAATAGAAGTTTAATATATAAACAAGTTGATTTTAATTAGAATATACGTCACAGCTTTTGAAGAAATAACTATGGTCAAACTTCTAGATTTGATGTACTGTACATATTGTCCTGAGTCTGCAATTTTGATTTTTTTGAGAAAATATTTTACTTCACAATTCAGCTACTAGAGCATTTGGTGCTGCTGTCCCTTTAATATCTTCTCAAAATGCAACATTTTCCTAAAATTTCCAATAGTCAGAGGACCTTTTGTAAACTTTTAACAGTGTATTGTGCTGTCATTGCTGTTTCATTTATAGAAGAGTTTAACAAGTAACCACAATCAGGCAGAGTGTGAGATGACTGTTTGCCTATTGAAGAATTCTGAAGAACATTTTGCAACTTTGTTTATACTCAATTCATTAGGAAAAAAAAAACATAATATGCACATTAAGGAGACAGCAGCACCAAATTTTGCTCTATCAGTTGAATTTTGAAGTAAAATTTTTCCTGAAAATTGAAATTGCATACTCATGACAGTTTGTATTTTGTGTAGAAAGTTTTGAACATAGCTCTTTATGATCATCTTGTATATTAAATTTTTATGATTCTTATACATAAGTAAGAATAATTTTAAATTATAATTTTAAGTAAATAATTGAATTTACATCTTAAAACTAATAAACATCTTAAAACTAATAAACATTTTTCATCAAAGAAATTTTTTTTGTAGTTTTAAATAAGGAAATTACAATATGTTAAATAAACAATACAGATCATTTATGACTTAAAAATTGTTACAAATCAAAATAACTGATGTGTTGTCTTTGAACTAACTGTATTAAGACAGTATCATCTTCTTTTGATCTTTAATATTTAGAATGATGAAAAATTTTGTTTGTCAGTTGAAAATGCGAGTTTTAATATGGCATATCAAAAACAACTTAGAGGTATAAAAGTATTTGTACAGAAAAACAAGTTGTCTGAAAGTCAAGGATTGCCTGTATATATATATGATAAATTGATTGATCTTTGTTACTTAGAGAGAATTCAAATTTGAAATTGTTACCGTTGTAGTAGTATAATCATAATAATAGAAAATATCTAGTTTAAAATTCACAATGAATATTGAAAGTAATTTAAAATAAAGCAGCAACATTTTAACACTGTTCTATTTTAAATTAGTATTAAATTTAGTCCTTCACTTTAAAAAATCAAGGTTAATATAACTGAGTGATTTCACATTATCTTGGTTTGTCATCTATTTCTCATAAATTACATATGGCATTAATTTTTACTTTCACTTTTTTAATACAAAATTTTCTTTCATCTGCATGTTAAAAAGAAAAAGGAAATCACAAAAATAAAATAGCATCTAGAAAATATTATTTACATTTTCACTGAAAACATTTCACTACTCTTCAAATAATTTTTGACAAGACTATGTCTTGTTTATAAAATCATACTGCCGTTTTATGTTACCAGCATAGAGGTACGAAGGAGTACATGTCAAGAGTTAATATTTAGCTCAGAGTACTAGGTGCCCGAATCATTTGCGCATAAAAAAATCCAGACTTGTAGGTAGTCGGGATCGAGAATCGAGTCAAAATAAAATACAAAATGGCAACCCTCTTCTACAAACAGGCAAAACAGCCACCTCACCCCACCAAAGTCAGGTAGGGGAGAGTACCACCCACAGTCATTCTAAGAAGTGAACAACTCTGACCTTAAGACTGAACACGTAGTTTCTTCTATGTTAAATAAAATTTGTAATCTAATTTTGTAAATTTGGGAGTGCTTCAAATATGACGTTAAAACGGTTTTATGTTGTTACAAGTGGAGTTTTTTAACATTATCTAGTATAGTAAATCGTGGGACTGATAAAAATTTGACGTTATATTAGGGTTGTCGTTACATTCGATGACGTTATAATCGGGTTAAACTGTATGTTGTTTGTGCAAAATAAAAATAATAATTTCAGATGATACAATAGCCACGATTATTTTTTTCAAAAATGGGAAATTTTTGTTACGCATCAACAAAAATGGGCCAACGCGCAATGGAGAGAAATTTTGAAATTGGATGGGTTAATTTCATCGAAAATGCATCGTGGCCAGAGAAGTTTGAATGCTCATGCCCAAAAGCAGCAATACCAAAGAAGATTAGAGAATGAGAATGAGACCCGACTTAAGCGTCAAAGTGATTCTGCTTAGTAGTGAGTCTCTGAGACATAGTCTTGTTCCAAATATGGTTTTGCTATTTTACTTGTTTAGAAATAAATTATTCAATTAAAATAGAATTTTAAAAATTACTTAAATTATATGTTAAACAATTTTATGAGAAATACATAAATACAAATTCTCTTTTAAATTACAGTTACAAAGAAAAAAAGAGTTACTAATGAATTTTGAGATAATGTATTTGGAATATTTATTTTTTAAAATCACATTTTGTAATTTATTTTTAAAAATAAAGTATTTTTGATAGTTATTGAATTTGAAAATTTAAAGGTCTTGATCAGTCATCTTTAGGTTCTAAACATACTATTAATATGTACATTCTGCATTCAAGAATGTATAACATTTAGAATCAATCATACACTATTCTTTGTTTAATATTTTTATTTTAATTGTTAATTTTTAAATTTCAAATGTAGCTTATGATTGATTTCAACTATTATATGTTCTTAAATATAGAATCCATATATTATGTTTAGAACCTGATGATAAGCAATGATTTATATTTAAATGAATTATGTTGGTATGAGGGTTTCTCTTCTCAAGTATTGATGTTCATTCATGTATTTCTTTTTTTATAGTCTTATACATTAATATCTTTTTGGCTGATGACCTAAATATTGAAATTACACTTTTGTATGTATAATAAGATATTTTTATTTCTAATTGGTTTTTACAATAAATATTGTATTAAAATTTGCATTTGTGATATAACAAAATTTAAAATGATTCCATTTACATTTTGCAAAGGAAGTAAAAAATAAAAAATATGTACAAGTGAAACTATTTTTGAATTGCTTTTAGATTCAAAAATTTGTCATAAAACTATGGTTCAGCACAAATTAACACCATACAACTGAATTTGTGTGTGTAATTCTTAACACTTCCTGGTTCTGTTGACCTAGTTTCTTCACTGCATGCTGGCTGATTTAAGTGATTTTATTATATTTTCTACTGAGAATAAAAAATGATTGACAAAAGCTAGGGTAAAAGTGAAAACAGAGTCTGATTTTGGGAACATTTAACTATATATTTTTCAATTTTGATGTGTGCAGGCTTTATTTTTATGTATTGTGTTTTAATGTTATTTAGACATGTTTTAGAGATAGAGATAAAATGAAGAAAATTAAAAAATGCAATAAAGCTTTTAACATTTGTCTTTTTAAGTAACAAATATATAGTACATTGATGAATCTATCTATAATGATGATTTACTGTATCAATATCATTAGTATACTTTCCTCTGACTAGTCATTTTTCATAATTGCATTGGTTTAGCAAATGTGGATGAGATGGCATTAGCACTGTCAGAAATATGGGAATCTGACTTTTGCATTGAGAATATCTAAAAAATATATGAATTATGTAATATTATATAATATATACAGGTTTAAAAATAATAATGAAATTACATGGCATATTTGTACTTTTTTATTTCAGTTAGGCCTAAAATATAATCACCACACTTTTGTTAGATAAATCAACATAATCATGACTATATTTGTTCATTTCTTCATTAATAAATTCAAACAATTTTTGTTCAGCACATTTATTTGCCATATCTGAACTTAACTCACATATACAAAATAAAATGACTTGAAATTCACTTGCAAAATGTGGAGATGAAACTTTGAATCGAATGATGCACATGGTTCTAAGAAATAGCTTATATTTCAAATTTCTGAGAAAATGGTGCCCACTGTTAGTTAACAGACACACAAAATTCATATTGTGATTGCTGAAAATGTAATGTTACATTTTAAAGCTAGAAATAACTTGATATATAGAGGAATGTAATATTGCATTTGCTGTTTTTACCTAAGAATTCGTAAAACGTAATATTATGTTTCTAGCAGGATAAGTGTTAAGCTTTCTCTTATACGTGATGTGATTTCTGATTAATTTTTTCATGTAGCAAATCTCTTCTACCAGTCCAACATGTTGAAAATTTTCACTTTTGACATTTTATAGTGTGAATGGATTTTACTAAGCAAATAAAAATTGCTTTCAGTTTTTCATTTGTTTTCACTACTTACTATCAGTGTGAACTAACCTTTAGAATGACTCTTCATTTTTTCATGTGACTAGGATTTCAGTGGAAAGAGACAACTGACCTTACATACTTGTATAATGTGTGGCAAATCTATTGGAAAAAACCAAAAAACAAACAAACCTTAGTCAATGTTTTAAGTGTACTGTACATGACACAATTTCATACTGTTTAACTTTTCCTTTTATATATTGTTTAAATTATTAGAAGTTCAATATATATATACACCATGGGCAAATGCGGCTCTTGCTGAAAGTGTTAATTTCCACTTTTTATTATTTTTTTTACAATTTTAATTCCACAATTTTGTGAAAATATGTTTATTAAAAAAATTCGATATTTGTTTTATATAATATTTATATATTATATAATAAAATCGCGGTACAGAATAAAAAAGTACAGAACTGCAGCTCCCATGCATTTTGCAAAACCTACATTTTGGCTCCCACTGACCTCTTGCTTGCCCACTCCTGATATAT